GACTTGGATCGAAATGCTGCTGCCGCAGAGCCCCCAGCCTTTGGTGGAGGATTAGAAGGAGGTGGCAATGCCTTCTTCTTTGCCGTAGGATCTGCTCCTGGAGCTCCCTGGCGATTTACCATAATTATCTAGTCAGAGTGTTGCTATGTACTTCAAAGTGTGGATTTCATTCAACCACCTTTGCGTCTGCGGGGGCAGTTGTAGGAGGCGCCATTTTGGGCGGAGCTTTCATGACACGTGGTCTGTAATGCTGGTTAATACATGACTGATACCATAGCTACATATCCGACGATACACTTACGTTGAACCGCTGTCCTTGCTCTCCTCGGATCCCTTCTCGTCAGCCATGTTTGCTATTGTTTGTTATCGCACAATCTTTAGCTTATAGTGTGAGTTAGGGACCCCCTTGAACCGTAACGGACTGGAAGCGAGAGACTCGAAACTGCTTTCGACTCGTTCGAGACTTCAGAACCCTATTTTGGATTGGTGATATATCCGTCGCGCTTTAATGCATTCACCGTCGAAAAACTGCCTGGCGAGAGCTACACGTAGCTACGGTGGTCAGGAGCTGAGCCAGTAAGCTCCATTGCTTGTACAAAAGATAACATGCAATGCCTTAATATGTTTATGTTGCTTAACAAGCACATTGCAAACTATGTTGCACTAAGCTTGCGCATTCAATTTTCACAGCTCTCAGCCAACCAAAGGCCCCAAAATTTATAGTTGCCAGCGAAAAATTATAAAAAAGCATATGCTACAGGAGATCGATCGGCATGAACCGCTAACATTTTTTCGCTACTTCTGCAGGATCAATTTCGGCCGTCAAAAGGTTTGTGACCCTTCTAGATACGCTCAGAGCGATACAATACGCTGTCAGTTCCAGTGATAGGCATCCAATATTGCTGATTCGTAAAGGTGGTCGTGAGCTAACGCTAAACGTTGCTTTTCTTTCCTGGTTGCTCGAACTACTTCTGTTCTACTAGTTTTGGAATGGCCTGCGTTGAAGATTGCCATATGTGTGGATTCCAGGCGTCGACTCAAGTTCGAGTAGGTCGTTTTTCAAGCCTTCGGGTCCGATACACTGTTTCGAGGGGATGGACTTTCGATCCATTTTCATAAATCAGTTTTTCCCAGTTTTCCCCAGACTTGCAGTTGCATTCGAAATATCCCATAAAATACCATCGAGGATTGATCGATTGGTCCACGTGTATCGTTAGCAACTTGCCCTCGGTGTTCGTACGGGGTCTTTCCGAAAAGGTTCTTTCTTCCTGAGCGATGGAGCCTCCATTGGAGAAGGAGCAAGTGGTGTAAACTATCGGCAGCAGCCTTTATTTGATTTTGAGCGCCTAGTTTAGCCTAACTTCGTCTGTTGGGCCTAAGAACGAAAGGCACGGCGTGAGAGCGTCGGCACGGATCAACAACAGACCCGACCAACCTCGGTGGTCGAAACAAACGAATCCTGTAAACATTATTTGCAACTTTTTTTTAATCAGTTGGATCGATTGGTCCACGTGAACCGCTAGCATTTTTTCGGTTCAACCCTTTCAAACTTTTGAATCAAAGGTCTGGGATCGTTCTAGAGCGATGAAGGAACAAAGCAAGTGCTGCAAGACACGGCGTTCTAGTGATAACCGGCCTTATCTCCAAGGCATAGAAACGAACACACCTCGTGCCTCGACACGTGATAAGTACTGGCTTGGCGACCGGTCTCGGTGGCCAGCAAGGTCTCAGTGCAGCATGCGCTTTCTCCCTTGTTTACTCTATCAAATATAGAAGTAGTACAACGGCGGTCACATGACAATTGGAGCCCGTCAAAAATCACTTTGTTCCGTGGGATGGGGCGGAAGACAGTTGAGCATCAACTCGATGCCTCTCCGCGGTCCATGGACCATGACCACCCGCCAAAGATACCTTGGCAAGTTGACCAACACCATTTTTCCTTGCCCTTGTTCGGTTCATTCTGAAATCCACGGCCAAGCACCCAAGTGAGCCACAACCTCCAAGACTTTTCCTCATGGACCTCGCGCTCACAATCCTCGATGGTCTTCGCCAGATCTATGGGTTGCGCGATGCTATTCGCCGCCAGCGCCACGAGAACCGGAAGACTTATCTGCGGATGATGGAGATCTACGTCGAACTTCAACTGTCGGCACCTCTTCAAGAGAACCCCACCATACAACGCACCAATGCTATCGAGAAATTCGCGTCTGCTGTGGACTCGTTCTCGAAGTATCTGCGAAAGTACCATGACATGCATCGAGTTGTTCGGATGTTTAAACATGCCAAAATGGAGGAGAAACGACAGAAAATCGCCTCCGAAATCGACCAACTCTTCCGAAT